GTCACGCAATGCGAATTCAGCATTGAATTTAGTCGTACCGCTTTGTAGGACAGCCACAGCACAGAGGTCCTTTAGTTACAGAGCAATCACTGCTTGGAATTCTCTTATAAGTGAAGAAACAAAAAATAGCGCAACACTCTCAGTTTTTAAGCGCGCAGTAAAGCGCGAAATATATAACAGTTCGTAGTAAATTTTTTAGGTTTAGCTTTTTTAGAATAGGTTAATTTATTTATTTGAATTAGTTTTTTTTTTTTTTTTTTTTTTTTTTTTTTTTATCATGATATTATTGTAATTTTTATAAGTCGTTTTTATTCGATTTCCAATTATTGTAAATTAAATCGGAAGAGCCACTGGCTGGAGATTTAATAAATTTACTACTACTACTACTAGCATCAATATGCAAATTGAAGTCGAATCCTTCAATTCTGAATCGATCGCGTTGTGCCACAAGTTTTATTTCTTAACTTGACAAAATAGCTCTTAATCTTTAACTAAAACATGTTTTTAGGTCTAGTTTAGGTTCCACTTTTGAAAATTTTGTGATGTTTTTGAGGCATTTATTCCTGCATTTTGCTTTCTTAATTGGGTTATTGAAATAGAGACGACCAGTTTTTGCTGATTAGAGAAAGATAATGCCTAAATGGTATTGGAACAGTAAGAAGAAGTAAATATGCTTCCAAATGAGTGCGAACAGGCTAGGATTTGATAACCCGAAGTACTTTTAAACGATCGTTAAAAAAACTGTAAAACGGCACCTAAAATTTGCATATTTTAGCCGGTAACGGTCGTCCAGCATTGAAATGCTGGGAATGGCAGTAAAATAAACAATTTCCTCATTCTAACTGCAGTTTCGTTATTAGGATGGATAGTCAGTGTTGATGATAAAAATATAAGGCAAAGTTTTTTCGAGTCCAAAATCGAGTGGAACGCATTTAGGGAAACTGCCTCTTAAATTAGAAGAGTGGAAAAATGAGATCCTATTTTTTAGAAATCTAACCGAAAAAAAATTATATATTTCGGTAAATCTGAATCCGAGGAGATCATGGTCACCCATGTTGGCCGCCATTTTGGATGACGTCACAGGTCTGCAGCAGCACATTAAATTTAACTTTAAATTTAAATTTAAATTTATCACGGTGGATACCAGTTTGCTTTTCCACCGTTCAGGGTGTTAATAGTTGATTACCATTTGTGATTTATTTCATGTTGTGTGTCGTTTTACCAAACTACGGGAAAAGATCGAAAAACCGGCTTGCTATCATCTTACTACTGCAAATTCCGTGTCTGAGAGGTCAACACCTCGAACTAATTATCGGTTCGTCCTGTAGGGTTCGAGCCTTCTCGTACCTGGTTGTCATGGCATTAGACAAGAAAATTTGCTACACCTTTCTCTCTCATCACCTAGGGCTACAGATGGGCACTGGAGATTAACTTTGCCATGGCGTTTCTACTTAATCCTTACATCTAAATTTTGGAAACCATTGCTTGTGATTTATCCCCGGGGGTTACTCCCTGTAGTGGCCTTAATAGGGGGGTCTGCTCGAACGGGGTACCTTTTTCAAGCTTTAGGTGTATAAAAGGGTAGGGATTTCACCTGGCTAGTTGAAGTGTATAAAAGGATAGGGGAATCTGTCATTTCGGCCGCTAAAAGGACCCAAAGGGGCTAACCGAGATACATTTCTTGCCTGTGAAGAAGTCAAGAAAACTGCCCGGCTTAGTTATTTTTTCACAGTTAAGGACAGTGCATTTACAGCGGTTCAAAGCAATGCTGCATCCTAAACTAGGTATTTGAAAGGGGTAGCATTTGCCAGTAGAAGGGTCTACGAAAGGGGTACCTTTTTTGTCAAAAATAGTATATGTGGTAATGAAAGGTTAAGGCGTTTGATCTCGGGGCGGAGCCTCCTTGTATAAAAATTTGATGAGTGTGCCCCGGGGGGGGCATTTATCAGTGCGCTACCGGACAGCTGGTCGATACTAATTAAGGTATTGTCTTTTTCCAAGACAGAGCTGAATTACTTGAATAATATATAGATTTAGCCAGGGCTAAAAGCGAAGCTCTTGATAACATTTATAGTTTGTTCAAACAAAATATAAAATGGTGTAATGCAAAGCGGCGAAGGTAACGCCGGAGAACAGTGAAGAAACAACAATATGTCTATGTAGCAAAAAAGCGACTCACTTTTCTTGTACATTTCTTTGCCGTTGTTTTGCACGACTACAACGTGAAACTTCCAGAAACTTCTTAGTCACACGTTGTCGCACGTGTTCTCGTTCTTTTTCTTTTTTCAGTGTCTCTCATTTTCATCTTGCATTGGTGGCCGCTAGCATTTCTCATTTTCTTATCTCACCGCCGCTACAAAATTTTCATTTTGTTCTTTCAACAAAAAAATGTCTTGTTTTTTATCTCTCGCTCTAGATCTGTGTCGCCATTCTTCTTGGTTGAGCTTCGCTGGCCTGCCGCCTACTTTCTCTAACCCTATATTCCAAATTTGTGTACATGACAAGTAATCTAAGCTTAATACTTTAGACAACACGGATACAGAAACAATTTCTGCTTTCCGTTTTCGTCTTTATTGACTCTTTAATTGTCTCTGCTTTACAGAATGCGGGTGGCTATGCGATTTCCCGCCAAAATAACCTTGAGTTGCATTCGGGTTGCCATAACTGTTGATTGAGTTATTTTACATTGGTATGCCTGTTATTGTTACATTCGGACGTACGGTCAGGTGATTGCCGAAATTTATCGGACGGGTAGATTACCACATTTTCTTACGCATGGTGCTCCGCTTCAAATTTTGTATCCAGCTCTTATCTTTACTAAAAATAACTGCTTTCCATGACTAAAAACGTCCTCTTATTACAATATGCTGAACAAACAGAGCCTTCCTCGTTTATTAATTGCATGTCTACGCCCTGTGGCACTTTGTTTTTTGCGAATGGGCGTTTTTTGTATTATATTTTACAAGAACTAATTTTTGCGATGAGTTGAACCTGGTTTTTCTTGTTCTTTTTCTCAACGTTTTGTGAATTCAAGATGTGTGTAAATTAGAAGGCTTCTTTTTTTTACAAATTTGCTTCAAAACCTGGTATAGAATGAAAGTTAGTTTGCTAGTTCGTTTCTTCTAAAACAAAACGACTACTTGTCCTCGTTTTCTAAAAGTCAAGTTGTCATAGATAGTGGCGCACTTCCCGAAGGAATGCAAACCCTGCAGGCATCTCGTCAGTATAATTCGCGAGTGTGAGCTACGATTGATGCTTTCAGAGCGTATGACAATTTACATGATCCTTGCTATATCCAGCGAGTTTACACTTATTATCGATACATATTTGAGATTCGAGGCCGGAATTAAATGAACTTTGGGGGGTGTTACGCCAAAACGTGAATGGTTGATAAAAAGTAACATCTGAAACAGTAACATCTGTAAACCTGAAGAAGGCTGGTATGGCCAGCCGAAATATTGTTATGAAAAAACAACACCCGCTGTTCTGAATCAGCTTTGCTGTAGTCTTGGACTTCTCGTTCTTGATAAAAGCTACATGAATTAAGAAGTGGGCCGCAGTTTGCAGCCAGGCGAACTCATAACGCCGCTATGTTAACGCGAGCAAGACCTGTTACTCGAAGGTCCTCTTAACTTTTCGATCCAGAGCTGGATTTTATTGCAGTATAGGTTTGATGGATATCAGCAAAAGTTTTTAAAATTTTTAAAATACCGATTTTTTCAAACCTAAAAATCAGCAAAACAGACACCTTCAATAGCAAATTAAAACATTACCTCTAGTATGTAGAGACTTCCCCAGGGGTCCAGAGACCCGTTTCTCGAAAGTCCCGGTAACTTTTCGGGCCCGAAATCAAATATTCAAATCGAATTATAAAGAATAGGAGCGCCTGTCCTGGCTTGCAAACTACTCCATTTTGTTTCATTAACTGATAGTTTTATCATGTTAGATGCAAAACTATTGAAACCTCAATCTTTAATGTAAACGGAGACAGCTTACCGGGCCGATTAATTATGGGCACTTTCGACTTTCTTTTTCGTGCTCTTGGTCGGATGTTTCTTTGTTTCTATTTTTGGTAATTGTTCCCACCCTTATTGACCAAACGAACGCCCTGCATCAAGTTTTCCTGTTGATAGTGTGCACAACGGAGGTAAAAATTTCGCGCGTCTTTTTTAAAAGCGATGAATAGTTATGTCACTTAACTGTAAGTACCCGTAAATAGTTACATAGTAAATATCTACACTCTGATAAACTTGTTGGGATACCTAATAAAGCAACATCTTGAATTTCGTTATTTTATGCCTATGTATATGTCTGGTATTAAATTTCGCGATTTTTCCCAAATCGCGAAAATAGGGAAATTAATTCTCGCGAGATTAAAAAGGTAGTGTATGGCAAAAGTTGGCTATTTCGAACTCTCAATGCTTTTAAGAAAGTCGTTTTCTTCTTATCCTTTTGATTAACATGTGAAACAGTGAAGCAAACCTTGTCCGATAACAGCAATTACACGATCTTGTGTTATGCACAAACCAATCAGAATTAGTCCGGCCAGTTGGTTTTGTCTGCGCGTATGCGTGTGTGTTAAAAAGGAGTCCGCGCAGTTGAGAGGCAGCATGCAAGGAAGCGGGAAAAATATAAAAAAAGAGTGTATCGAACGAACTACTAACTGGGTTAACTACGAATAGAAGAATAGTTGTCATTTTGTTGTTGTTGCGTGGATTTAATGGACCGCGTGTTGATTCTGCCCTTTTGCATACAGCTGACAGTTCTTAACCCTATTACGATTCAAATTAAAGTCAGCTGAGCATAATTCAGAGAGGAAAACCACATTGTACGATCTGCTGGTCTTGTTGCTAAAATTAACTTTAACAAGCATTGAAGTCTGAAAACACATCATGGCCAGCAATTTGTCTTGTAACCAGGATAAATGCGGGCTAAACGAAACGTATTGCCCTGCTCAAAATCTCAGCCTGGCGAAGGAAACAGTAATTATAATTTCAGTTATGAGCATTCACCTCATCTCCACTGTCGCCGCCGTCTTCGGTAGCTATCTTGTGATTAGAGCGTTTCACAAATTTCATAGTCTTCGAACTGCTTCTAACGTTTTTATGGTAAGTTTGTCAACCGCTGACGGTTTACTGGCGATTCCTTTGATTTTTGGCATCGTCCAAATGAGTCTTAGACTGTTAAACAGCTCTGATGCTGAGGGTTGCTCCGGTCCTCTTGGAAAAATAACCTTCATATCCAGCTTCTTTCTCATCTCCGTTATAATTCCTCACCTCGCGTTGATAAGCGTAGAGCGTTTAATCGCCGTGAAGTCCGCCTTAAGATACCACACCATAGTGACCAATCCTCGAGCACTGATCGTTGCCTTGGCGATGTGGTTTTTTGCTGCGACCGTTACGATAACTTTTGCAACGACACTTGTAGCAAACCGTGGAGACATTGAACGGTTTCGCCAAGCGATGGATCCACACTGTAAAAACCCTGAAGATCCTTTGGATCACGATCTTAATCCGTTAATGAAAGGGCTTCTCATCTTTCTATTAATGTTTTTGCTAGTCATCTTCTTGGTAATCATTTTGTGTTCATATGGCGACATCTTTATCGTCTCCTACAAACAAAGGAAGAATATAAGAGGACAAAACAACATTCCAGGAATGGCTACCGCCATCAAGCACGAAATGAAAGGCGCCAGTACTTTTGCTATTGTTGTAGCCGTCTGCCTTCTCAGTATCGTCCCACTGATAATCATGACAGGCCTTCGCTTTTTCGGCGAACTTCCCGAACGTTGCGACCCAAAGAGAAAGTTAATTAAGTTCATTGGTTTTGACTTAGCAACAGGCTTAAACACCATCTGTAATCCTCTTGTCTACGGATGGAGAAATGAAAAATTCAGAACCGCTTTTCGCAAACTGCTGAAGTGCTCTTAAAACGCGAAGTTGTGCGCCGTTGGAAGCTGGGATTAAAGAGCCTGGTGTTTTAATTGGAGAATTTGCCACCAGAAAAAAAAAATTACTCGAATGGGGTCGAACATTTTCCAGACGTTAGGAGCAAGTTCTGGCATTAGGTATTTTGGGAAGAAAAATAGGAAGAAAAAAAAACTGCTGCGGCATATTTAATGCCTTTTTTTAACAGTTAACACATGCATGATCCTACGAAATTTACATTTATCCAATTTATCCTAAAGTGACTAGGATGAGTCCATAGTTTGCCACAAAATAAACTATAATGGACTGGAGGTTCTGAGAAGCAAGCGGCACATCACCAGCAAAAGTTGACCCAAGTTTATCCCCGGGTCTAAAATAAAATGCTTTTACTCGAAAATCCCGCTGAAATTCATCCCGGTTTTTATAAACTACACTTAAGTAATATATCAAACATGAGATGCAGTGTTTCACCACCAGATGAAACACCGAGAAGAGAGTTGAAAATACGACGCGCAGAGGAGTATTTTTGACGAACTTCGAGGTGTTTCATCTGGTGATGAAACACTGTGTCGAATGTTTGATATTTCTTCTCAAACAAAATCATTTTTGAAGGAGAAATTAAGGATGCAAATACTAAGCAGTGTTTCATCCGATTTCCAAACACTCATTAAACATTAATTTCCTTTGTATTTTCTTAATGAATTATTAATGAGTTTGAGAAGGTCAAGGAAACTTTTGGGCAATGATAATGAGCGTTCTGTTCAGTACAATGTGTAAGTAAGATAAAGACGAACTACAAAAAATTTCTCAGAACTTATGCCGGACTGCATGCAGTTTTTCAAAAAGAAGTGATGTTATTTACAAAAGACGTGATGGTCGATCTAAGTTGATGTAGCTCTTATCCATATCAGCAAATACAGTGTGCCGAACACATTGTTAACACAAAAACTAATTATCGGATTATCTTGCTTTTCCTAGAAAAGAAACTTAAATAAAAACGAATACCAAAAACTGTAAGGAAAAAACGGTATTGATACACCTCCCCAGGATACAGTAAAACAAAAATTATCTGCGGTAAACGAGCGAGGCACAAAATAGGTACCACTTCTCGACCGAGAAGAACTATCACATGAGATCGAGGTCGAATGAGCCAGGCAGCCAGTCCAAGATTTCGTCCAAACCGTGAAATCATATGGCATCCAGGACGATACCTACCCGAATCCCGCGGGAAAAGAAACACGACTATAATAGTATGCGGTCACCTAATTCCTCAAAAGGGAAATAAACACTTTTCCCGTTACGCAGAATGATATACTAATTTTAAGCACCGTCTGTACGCTTCAAACAGATCGCCGCTGAGTGATCTAAGAGTCCTATTTTTGTATGAAGTCTCTGTAAAATATTCTTATTAAACGAACTGCCCGTGAGTTCTGAAATTCGAAAAAGAAAAGTGACAAACTAAGTTTTGCTGCCATATTTGGGTGTTTGCCAGTTTTTCCTGTTTGGTCGCCTCTTTTCTTTACATGAACGCCTGTAGAAATATGGGTGTTCTTCATTGTATCTATTCCGCTCCAAACTTCTTCCGCTGTTTAATAAGTTTAATTTGTTATAAATGTCGCCAGCAAGTATGAATTCAATTTATTCATTATTTTCCTACATAGTGGTTTACGCGTGTCAATTAATTTTTAATAACACAGCATCATTAAGTTAGAAATGAAAACGGACGTTTCCTAGTCGCTTGATTAATGGCTCAAAAACGAAGGTGTCGAGCCAGTGTGTCTACTTCCTTGAATAAAAACAATCTCTGTTCAGCTGACAGCTGACAGTGCATAGTAGAATTCACTATTTTAAGCCGAAACTTATCCACAGTCGCAAAGAAACAGGACCCATGCATTTTTTATGCGTGAAGTCGGTTCTGATGTTGATATTAATAAACTGACTTGATAGTCTCTTAAATAATAATAATAATAATGATAATAATAATAATAACAATAATAATGATAATAACAATAATAATAATAAGAATAATAACAACAACAATAATAATAACAATAATAATAATAACAACAATAATAATAACAATAATAATTATAATAACAATAATAATAATATAATAATAATAATAATAATAATAATAATTATTATTATTATTTTGGTAATAATCAGTAATAATAATATTAATTCAAAGGAGTATTTAGGAGACGTTTTTAGACGTGTTAAAAAGCTCGCACTTCGTACATGTTCGGCTGTTCCTTGTATTTTAAACTCAGTAAGACGCACTCACTAGTTTATGAAACTTTCAAAGCCTCCTGTTACAACTAATTTTTATTAAGAGTGCCACAGTTCTTTTGTTTTTCTTTCTAGGCCAAATATAAGGTTCTTTTTATGAATTATAAGTTGACTCTGTACAAATTCATTTCACCGTTGAACGCAGTCAGCTGTTTAATATAAATTAAGAACACTGAGTGATAACTAGTTTTATTTGCTCAACTTTACACTATGCAATTTTGACATCCTATTTACTTTCTTAATGGATTCTCAATGAATTTGCGAGGACATTTATAGTTTGACGTTGTAGAAGGCAGTAATTAAGACAGTTACCCAACATTAACCTGTATATACATATATATTTTATGGACAATCATGTTTATTTGGTTTTTGGTTAATAGAAATGGTTTAATTCTATACCTTTATTGCAGATGCGTCGTATTTTGTTTTGACGCTATTAAAACAAAAGGAACATCATCAATAGTTGTTATCGTTATCTAATATCCTTTGATCATATACAGAGTTGAGTTCACCCGGCCATGGCTGAATATTTATATGGTTTGATTATGATACGAAACGGAACAACAGTGGTATGAGTAAGTGTTCCGAAAACGATAGATAACATAGGTGGCACAATTTTCCTCCCGCAATGAAGAATTGCAAGACTGACCATCCCTTACCGAAGTGGAAATTTATTCTACTGTTGAACGTTCATGGGATTATCACAATCATTGCTTTGCTTGGGAGTTATCTCGTGCTAAGAGCGTTTCACAAATTTCGGAATCTGCGAACTGCTTCCAAGAACATTTTGGTGAGTTTGTCTATCGCCGACGGCTTACTAGCGATTCCCTTGATTCTTGATATCATTAATTTGTGCCTTTTGTGTAATGTTGGAAATCCTTCACGTTTTCTAAAAGAAGTATACGGAACTATCATCTTGTTCCTCCTTTCGGTCATTGTTCTCAGCTTAATGAGTTCAGAACGTTTCATTGCGATCAAGTTTGCCTTAAGATACCACACCATAGTGACCAAACGCCGAGCACGGATCGTTTCCATCGCGATGTGGCTGTGGGCTCTGGTCATTGTTATTGCTCTTCCATGGACGCTTTATGAGACAACAGGCCACAAAGATTACAGAGAATTTCACATAGGGATGCATCCAGATAGGGATGAAGCCCAAGAGCTCCCCATCAGATGGCATCTTGTATTCACAGCTGCGTCAATGTTTCTTGTTCCCCTGTTGATCATGATATGCTCGTACACCTACATCTTCATAGTGTCCTACAAGCAGAGACAACGTGTCAGAAAACAGGGCCGCGACGTTCCAGGATTGCCAACTGTCAAGCACGAAATGAAAGGCGCCCGAACTCTCGCAATTGTTGTGGCGCTGTGTCTGCTCAGTATCATTCTTATCCTTGTTGTGACATCCCTCCGAGTTTTCTGGGACACATTACTCGCAGGGCACTACCATCAAAAGTTACTGCAGCATATCGTTTATAAGGTGGCCATGCTTTTGAACGCTGCATGCAATCCTCTTATCTATGGATGGAGAAATGAGGAATTCAGAAACGCTTTTCGCAAGATGCTAAAGTGCTGCTAAGCGAGTTTAGCGCATGAACGCCGTTAGGTATTGTACGCCATATCCAAGATTTAATATTCTTTTCTTGCAGGCAAATTGGCTAAGTATCGAGTAACAGACGATACCAAACTCTCTTTTGCAAGCCACTGAGAACAGCTGAGTTTGGTTTGTACCTTTCCTCTCTTGTCTGCTAAATTACTAGACTCAAATAAAGAGCCCTACGTAGGAACTGTAATAACATAGCGGCGCGAATGTAAGTTGGTCAAATTTTGTAACGAGTTTCATTTTGAGTAAAAAAAGACTCTGTTCTATGAATAAGACCTTTTACAAGTGGCCCAGTGAAGGACATAAACTGATAGCTGCGAATTCGTCAACATTTTTACTGTCAGCAAAGAAAAGAGGGATTTTTAACTGAGTGCTGAGACTTGATCAAAAAATTATTGATACGAGTGAGGAAAACCAACGGCGACTCAAATAAAGAGCCCTACGTAGGAACTGTAATAACATAGCGGCGCGAATGTAAGTTGGTCAAATTTTGTAACGAGTTTCATTTTGAGTAAAAAAAGACTCTGTTCTATGAATAAGACCTTTTACAAGTGGCCCAGTGAAGGACATAAACTGATAGCTGCGAATTCGTCAACATTTTTACTGTCAGCAAAGAAAAGAGGGATTTTTAACTGAGTGCTGAGACTTGATCAAAAATTATTGATACGAGTGAGGAAAACCAACGGCGACTCAAATAAAGAGCCCTACGTAGGAACTGTAATAACATAGCGGCGCGAATGTAAGTTGGTCAAATTTTGTAACGAGTTTCATTTTGAGTAAAAAAAGACTCTGTTCTATGAATAAGACCTTTTACAAGTGGCCCAGTGAAGGACATAAACTGATAGCTGCGAATTCGTCAACATTTTTACTGTCAGCAGAGAAAAGAGGGATTTTTAACTGAGTGCTGAGACTTGATCAAAAAATTATTGATACGAGTGAGGAAAACCAACGGCGATTCCAACACCCCCATGCAGACCCATTTTAACTCTTAAATGTACGTCGTTAAAGAAAAAGCTGCGCAATCTCATTCGTGCTTATGGAGATAGCATGGTGAAGAAACAAAATTTGTCCATAGAAGTTTAGAATTAATTTCAAACATTCCAGTCTCTTGGTATCATGCAATGAAATACCATACCCAAAAACAAACCACAAAAACGCATACACCGTTTAGGCACACGGTTCAAAGAACATCTGTTGGGGGACCCCGGGAAGGGGATGACTCCCAAATGAAAACGATGGAATATTTGTCGTCTCGCTTAGGATTGATCACGACTGAAACCAATGTGATATCTTTACCCATAGGGGTATCATTGTGGATTGTGTGTAAAGAAATAACTAGGTAAAACAAACAAATGCTTTATAACAAAGGGAGAACAGTTAGAGTTGTGACAAAATCGCGAAAAAACGCGAAATTTGTAGTTTTTGTAATTTTCGTTAAAATTGTAAAATCACAGGTAACCCAGGCTCTGTGATAGTACCACAGTACGGTTCCAGTAAAATTACAGTGTTTGTATGGGGTAAAAGTACGATCCTAAAATTTCTACGAAATACTAAATAAAGATCAATGAAACTTACTCTGCAGTTAGTTGTTGTTGTCCTTAATGATCCAACGAAGTTTCGTGATAATTTGCTCAAATTCACTGTATATACAATAATAATATACAAGGTAGGAGACACGAGATGCCATGCCGCCATGCCCTCATTCAACTGCAACTTTTTCCACGAAATCCGAACTACGCCAGAAAATAGACATGCCAGGATTGTAATAATAGGATAGCAGCAGATATATAAACCAATAAAGCTTTCCCAGATAGAAAAGCGAATCCCGCAGACTTTGACAAACTCGAAGGATGTAATCCAAAAAGGCCGAGAATATGCTCGCCGAAGTAGCCGGGCCAGATCAACGCGCGGCCAAGAAAATGAGGCCTGGGCACTGTACAAAAAAAATCCATCCCGGGTGTCCTGGGTTGACCTTTCTAGGGACCGATACATAGCTTTACCGAAGTTAGCCACCCCTGCTGGAAATACATTTGCTCGACGGCTATTGTTCACTTGAGAAAAACACCACTCGCCCAAGCAAACTACATGTTCCGGTGCAGAATTGTATTCAGAGGAACTTGAAGTAGGATGGAGGAGTACTAAAATCGCCGAAAAAAATAGTGGATTATGCCAACACTAACAACGTTGAATTTATTGTTGACCCCATTGTTTTATTCCATGGTTGATTAATTTACAGCTATTTGCAAATACTTAAGTTGATCAAGTGCAAGTGACTACCAGGGGAGAGTGTAGATTGGTTCTTTGACAACAAAATGACGTGATCATATTGCTTGCACAGACGATACAGCATGTCCCCGCAGAAAAACAGCATTTTGATAAATGAGCATGCGCTGAACCGTGAATCTGTCCCTTTAAGGACAGTACATTTGCAGCAGTTCAAGGCAATGTAGCGTTCTAAACCAGCTATGTGAAAGGGGTACCATTTAGAAAGGGGTACCATCTAGTGGTACCCCACTAGACCGGGGTCCCCCACTCCATGTAAACAGGGTCTTAGTTACACGTTGTCATACGCGTTCTCGTTCACTTCTTTTGTTTTTTCACTGCCGCTCATTTTCACCTTCCATTGGTGGCCGCTAGCGTTTCTCATCTTCTCACCTCCGCTACAATATTTTCATGTTGTTCTTCCAACGAAAAAATGTCTTCTTTGTTTCTTTGTCTCTTGCTCTAGATCTCTGTCGCCCTTTTCCTCGTTGAGCTTCGCTGGCCTGCCGCCTACTTTCTCTAACTCTATATTCCAAATTTGTGGACATGACAATTAATCTAAGCTTTTAATTTGTTCATGCTTAGCGTGCGTATATCGAGTTACGGATGCACCCGGGAAGTTTGGAGAGCACGGAAGACTTCTTGAGTGCTCTCCAAACTTCCCAAGTGCATCCATAAATCGATATACGCACAGCTAAAAGCATGAGCAAATCCTTTTATAACATAGCTGCCAAAAACGCTTGCTTTTCGATTAATTACAAAATTCTCGTAACGCTAGACACAATAACAAACGCTTCAGTCTATTGGCTAATAACAAACACGCCACAATGGTCTAGTTTGAATGAAAATTCTTTCTGTAAAACTGAGAAAGAAAATTTGCTCATTTATTCGTTAACGATCAATGAAAACTAAAAAGAAACAAAAGGTAAAAGAGTCTTAAAGTCTACCTAAAGTGAAAATACTCACATGTTCGTAAGAAGTCGTGGAGTGTGGTTTGGATTGTTTTGGATTTGCTTTAAAGATGTTTATGTTTTGCTCGGCGAAATCCAGAAAACTTGTTTTCCAGCGAAGACGACTGTCATCCTACGTTAACCTTATATTCATTTACGAACAATGGCTGGTAATTACGGCTTCTTGAGAAGACCTGGCAGCAGTTGTTTTGGTGAGTAATAAAGTTATGTCTTCTTGTGTAATTTGTCTTGTCATTGCAAGAGAAATTTTCCTGCTTCAGTCGGATTGTTCGGCGATAACAAAAGTGTGCAATTCTTTGTAGCCTTTGTTGCAAGCGTTTCCGTGCTGTTTCGAGAGGCAAAGACCGCGCAACAAAGACCGCGCGAAAAATGGCCCGAGTAAACGGGGAGGGGGTGGGGAAGAGAGGAAGGAAACGCTTGCAGACAAACCCCGGGAATTTGAAAACCGCCTACTCTGCTTGTCATACCTTAGTGCGCTTGTCACGCCTGAGTGCGCGTACCGACATTTAATCCTGTCAACAGCTCTCATAAATAGACCAATAAAATGCTTGGTCTTCCGAGCGGAAGTGAACTTTCCAGGACACGTGTAGAACCAAAACAAAGTGTCAAAATGTTTCGGAAGCATCGCGCTGAGGGAATGGAGAATTCCCAATGAATCCGAACGAGCATTGCAGGCTATGTATAATTGCAGCTTCAAAGTTAAATGTGGTAATAGTAATACAGTAAACACCCGCATATAAGAACACAGGATTTCGGAGGTCAGGCTGATTGAGTTCTTATTTATCGGGTGCTTAATGACAAATCAGCCTCAAAATGTTCTTAAATTTTTATTAAGTAATACTATCCAAAACATGTTGCTAGAGGTATATTTTAAGCATATTTTAGCAAAATAAAATAAATAATTATCCAGTAATTTGATCATATTATATCTTATATTATATCATAAACTTACATGCTTTGTAATCATGACACTTTTTCCATTTTATAAGAACAAGTTACAATTTTCAGGCTAATCTTGTTCTTATAAAAATGGGGCTTTATTGGCCAAATTTCAGCCTGGTGTTCTTAATCCGCTTGTTCTTATATGCGGGTGTTTACTGTATTTCTACAGAAAATCTTTTTAATCCGTCCAAAAGGAAGGACTGCAAGGGTGAAATTTTAGCTCAAAACCTTCAGAGAGCTGGATTTGAGGTGGTAAAATGTGAGAAGCATTCAAGTCGCGTTTGTAATCCTTGTGCTCGAAAGATTCGAGATCTTGGATCACTGTATTCATTTGTCCAGGAATCGATACAAGGTAAAATTACCGAGATTACTGCAGCTACTCCACCAAAGTCAACTTCAGCAAATAAGCGCTTACTGGACACTCCAGAGGGAAAGAGTCCGAGCCGCAAATCGGTTCTGTAACGATGTTAATTTATGCATGTCAAGTTAATTTATACAGTTAAGTTTAATCCGGGATCTCGCATGTTTTCGCGCTCGTCGCTTGTTGCTGTACACTTGGCTTATAAGATTAAAAACGTTGTGTCTAAGTGCTCTGGTGTTCCGTCGTCCGTCTTAGCGAATACGTTACATGGTGTCAGGAGTGGAAACCAGTTTCTGCAATTGGCGCCGTCGAGGGATTACCGCTCAGCGTACCGGAAAGTGTTCTGGAGAGAGATTTGTTCGCACGCACGTGGTTGAGCAACTCTGATCTGCGAACTGATATTTATAGGAGATAGTTTCCGATCTCTGCGGTGTTCGGCGCTACCCACTCGAAACCTTCTTCACAACGAATAGCGGAAGACAACGGTGACTGGAATCGTCTTGTGTTTTCGAAAGGAAATCTCTGCTGAAGGAATCTAGCTAACTTCAAATTACTAAGTATGACCGAGGGTAGCGGCGCATCTGTGCAAGTACAAGAAGCCGTCGAACAACCAAATCTGGTACAAATCCCGATAAACATCCCATTGCCCTCAAAGTTAGAGCTCACAGGGAAGTTGGCGACGAACTGGAAGAAATTCCACCGTGATTGGAACAACTACGAAATAGCGGCACGTCTAAAAGACCCTGAAAACCTTGCTGTAAATAAACCGCTGAGAACTGCCACATTGCTAACCTGTATTGGCGCAGATGCTCTTGATGTGTACGAAGGCTTAGAATTCGAGAATGAAGACGATAAGAAGGACATTGATATTGTTCTCCACAAGCTACAGCGTTATTGTATCGGAGAGACAAACGAAATCTACGAGAGATACCGATTTAACAAGAGAGACCAAGAACCAAATGAGTCTCTAGATGCTTACGTCACGGCCTTGCGCACGTTGGCAAAGACGTGTAACTTCGGAGTGTTAGAGAACAGTCTAATTAGAGACAGGATTGTCATCGGAGAAAGAGACAATCAAGCTCGCAAGAAGCTCCTACAAGTCTCCAAACTCACATTGAAGGAATGAATTGATATCTGTAGATCCTATGAGACCTTAAGCCAACAACTGAAAGAAATTACTCAGGAGGAAGTCAGCGCCATTAGTCAGTCCAATGAAAAGAAACCTAGGGAAATTCGCTGCAAGTTCTACGCCAAAACGCATGTCTGGAACAAGCTTAAATGTCCTGCATGGGGGAAGACTTGCTGTAATTGTGGCATTCCAAACCACTTTGCGGTGGCCTGCAAAAACAAATCGCCTCCACCCAGTTTGGCCACATCCTCTAAACCTCCCACACCGAGACACGTCCGCAAGCCAGTACATGCAGTGGAGGATTCTCACTTTTACGAATATGTCGCTTGTGTTGATGTCAACGAGCAAGTCTGTGCTGTGGAAAATCCTGATCGTAAAGACAAACTGCTTGCAGTAATGCTATTAAATGGTTATAGAGTCCCATTCCAACTGGACACTGGTGCAACAGTGAACATCTTACCTGAAGAGTCTCTCAAAGAAGTATATGGTGAAGGCAGCTTTTCCCCGCTGGACAATGCGGACGTAACTCTTGTTATGTACAACAAAACTGAGGAGAAGCCGATTAGCAAGAAATTAAACGTGTCCAAGTTGTGAATCCCAGAAATGGAAGAAAATACAGTGTGGAATTTGTAGTTGTAAAAAGAAAAGGCAAGCCTCTGCTTGGCTTACG